AAGTTTGAACAAAATCCATCTGTAAACAGACGAGAAATGCTTGATTTTTAGGATTTTTTAGCACAAAAATGGCCGCCATTCGGCCATCTTGAATCAGATCGTAAAACAAAATGATGTTCATCAAGGTCCTATAATGTCCAACGTATATACAAGGTTTGAACAAAATCCATCTGTAAACAGCCGGGAAATGCTTGATTTTGATGATTTTTAGTACAAAAATGGCCGCCATTCGGACATCTTGAATCAGATCGTGAAACAAATTGACGTGCATATGTATGATATCATGTATGATGTATGTGTGAAGTTTGATTGTGATTGGTCCAGGCATTTCTAAGATACAGGTCCGGACGCACGCACAGACGCACGCACGCACACACGCACGCACGCACGCACACATGGAGGTCAAAACATAAGTTCCCGTTTTCGGACTTCGTCCGAACGGGGACTAAAAAATACAAATTTGAGAGCTTAGCATCTCAGAGGTCCAAATCTCATGTTTTAGCGAATACTGATTTGTTAATACATTATTTTGCTTGCACAAATCCATGAATAGTTGACGTTATGCAGCATCTAAATGACATAATCCAAATTTCACATCGACTAATCGATTGATTCCTGAAAAATCGATTTTCAAGCATTTCGAAGCCATTGTCAAGCCAATATGGTGGCCAAACCATTTTAGCGATTTGAAGAAAAAAAAGTGGTATACTCACCCATGCCATATTAAAACTATATGTTAATCTGATAGAAAATTGAAAATTAAATTCAGCGCAATAAGTCACACGACATGAGTTATTTTTTTTATTTGTCATATTAAAATTGTTCGTAAACACGTATTCACACTAAACCCCTACCTAACATTTAATAAGTCAAAAGAAAAACATTTTCTTAAGACCTGGTGACTTAAATTACAGATATCGATCTTCGTTCGAACACATGTTTGTCGCTAAGTTATGACATGGTTTGCTAGAATATCATTACACTAGTATACGTGTATTGTTATCATGACAAATATAAGTGCAATTAAGTGTAACCTTTAGTTTCTGCCTTGTCTAATATTATATTTATTAAATGTAATTTCGAAATGCACATAATCTGTAAATCCACCTCCGGAAATAAATAAATGGTACAAAAATAAGAATGGTTAACAACTATTCGTCAAAAAATGGGATGCAGTGTGTTCTCGTTGGACATAATTATATAAACTTCTTTGTGACTAAACGTCGTTCTTGTTACACTGTCTAACACCTAGGCGGGCCACTAGCATACTTTCTCATCTACTATTAACTCATCCATCCGTAGACAAAAAAAGGAGTAGTTTGATCCCGTAAATCATCGTTTCTGGGAATATGGAAACGTTGAGTGAAATGCATCAACAAATACTGTAAAATACTTGATTTTAGCAGGAATTAATTCAATGATTTTGTCGAATGTAAAATATAGGGAAAAAGGTATATTCGCTGGATTTTA